TGTTCAAACTCCGGTGGCAAAATATACAAAAAAAGTTACAGGCCTACAACAAACACTGCTCAGCTTAGTTTCCTGTCAAAAGTTCTTGCTTATTCACAGGTCATTCATACCCCCAAAATTCTAACAGCCAGACGCATCGGTGGTCATACGTCCTCTTACACAAGTCTGGTGGTATTTGACTGACCAATAAACTAGTGGCCAGATATTCAAAGGAGCATGTTTTATCAAAGGGGTTCAAAAAGAAAAGAAAAACAGTAACTATCCATCCATTTCTCCTTTCTTGTCGCTGGAGCCTATCCCAGCTGTCATAGGGCAAGAGGCAGGGTACACCCTGGACAGGCCAGTCTGTCACAGGGCTAACACATAGAGACACAGACAACCACTTGCATATTCACACTAACTGCATGTCTTTGGACGGTGGGAGGAAGCGGGAGCACCCACGCAAACTTGCTGTATGGCAACAGTGCTAACCACTGTGCCACTGTGCTGCCCAGTGAATATACACTGCAATATGAGCAGGATGCTAGCTTTCAAAACCCTGCCCATGTGATTAATGATATTATATAACGATGCTTGTTGCAACACCTTGACTGTTTTTCATTCACCCAACCTTTGGTATTCACCTTGATTAGCAGAACAAATAATAGCAATGACAGAATTGTGCTGTTAACAGAATCTTAATTCCAACAAATTGGATCAACAGTATATCCTGAATTCAAATATATATATATATATATAAAATAAAACAGGTCTAAAATGAAAACACATTTAGATTTATTGTAAAAAAAAACTCAAACATTTACAATATTTGAAATAAGTTAGATTTTGATCTAAATATGCAAATTCTTAGAGTTGAGTTGTGATCAAAAAGTTTTTAGTATTGAAGCCCCTCCTCCTCTGCTTACTCTATATAGGCCTCAGTCTCTTTTCATTATTCAGTTCAGCTCACATCTCACCTGGACAGTAAAGAGAATACGCTATACTTTCAACATGCTGAGAACCTTCTGTACTCTTATTGCTCTAGCATGTAAGAGCGGCTACTGGTTCATTTTATAGTCTGTATTTAGAAACATAAAACTTTATTTAAATATTAATTAATTTAAACATTCTTTTTTTCTCTAACAGGTGTGGATGCTGCAAAAGTGTTGACCCAGACACCACCTGTCCACACAGTTTCTCCAGGAGACGAGGTTCTGCTCAAATGCAACATTCAGAGAGATGAAGGCTATTATGTCGGCTGGTACAAACAGGTCCCTGGTTCTACTCCTCAGTATATTCTGAGATTTTATCATAGCCACAGTTCACCCAGCTTTGGAACAGGATTCTCCTCAGACCGATTTAATTCTAAAGCCTCATCAAACACTGATTATCAGTTAATCATCAAGCGAGCAGAAGCAGGAGACTCTGCTGTGTATTACTGTAGCACATGGGATAACTCTGCTAATGAGTACGTATCACAGTGATTTACACTGTGACAAAAACCTCTGTACAGAATACTTCTGCTTTCAGAGGCTTTGACATTTTGTTAACAATGACTATGTGTCTGCTAGACATCCAACTGGATCATAGATAAGGTTAACACATATGAAGTGTCTTTGGGCTAGGAGACTTCAGAGAAAAATGTCAAGAATATCAGAATATCCTACTCAATAACAGAGGACCAAAATGAGCATTTAAAATCTTCTTGCACATTGATTTTGCTGTTTACTGATTACCAAACATGTTAAAATAAAACAAAAGGGTTCAATGACTTTAACTGGACATTTAACTTTACTGTAGTTAGAATAAATAAAATGTTGTGCTGTGTCACATTTGTAGACTTGGGACAGTTAAAGGCATGAGTGTCACTGGTTTAAAATGCTTATTTTAAACCTGCAGCCTTCACACTCTGTTAGTAAAGCATCACCTCTCTACTCCTCCTTCTCTTTTTCCCAAAATGCACCTGCAGATCTGAGCATCTAATTTATAACATCAGGAAAGTTGTAAAAGAGAGTTAAGGTCTTTCTAAAAGGAGATGTAACTGCCCCTGACTGGAAATGTTGTATTTCACTATACTTTGGTAATTCAGGGAATTAACTGAATACTGCTTTGGTTTTGTCCAAGAATAACTTTATTTATTATATAAGAAGCAGTAAACAATGTCCAGCTGTACAACTTTCGCAGCTCTGTTGTTGTCATACAAACATTTGATATGAAAAATGTTGATTTTTTAACATTTATTTGCCATTACTACTTAATCCTAATTTTTAAATGGCTAGTACACATAAAAGTCTGAGCTGCGATGAAATGACTGTTTATGGTGCATTTTAATGTTAAAGAATCCAGTTTGCAGCAGAATTTTTTTGTGTGGCTGATCTGAATTTAGATACTATAAAACATCTCCTAATATAGATCCTTGGATTAAGCTGTTGTAGCTATTTTTACGTAACGTTTATGTTCAACAATAAATCAATTTTGTATTCCTGCTTTTTAAACAGATCCAAAGATTATGTGAAAATAGAAGTGGCAAAAAATTACAAAAACTTTCTTATTTGCAAATAAAACAACCAGATAGAATGTATAGATTCACCTGACTACACACACTTTGTTATTTAACTTAACAGGAGATTAATCCCAACAAAATATGTCCTGAATTTAAATATATTCATAAATAAAAAATAACACTGCTGTAAACTGAAAACATATTTAGTAGACTTATCCTAAAAGTAAACATTTATGATATTTAAAATAATTTTGAGTTTGGTGTAAAACCCTAATTTCTAGTTGAGTTGTAATAGTACAGTTTTCAGTATTGAAACTCCTCCTCCTCCACTCCTTAGTTATTAAACGTCTCAGCCTCTCTTCATTGCTCAGTTTACCTCTCAGCTGGACAGCAAAGAGAATACACCGTACTTTCAACATGCTGGGGACCATCTCTACTATTATTGTTGCTTTAGCATGTAAGATAATCTTCTGGTTTATTTTATAGACTGCACTTTGAGAGTTAAAAACAGACTTACTGCAATTTTTTTCTCTGACAGGTGTGGATGCTGCAAAAGTGTTGACCCAGACACCACCTGTCCACACAGTTTCTCCAGGACAGGAGGTTCTGCTCAAATG